TTACGCTACTTTGTTGTCACTTTGGATAAAAATTGATGATAAAAAATGTGAGAAAGGTCATTCCATTCATCTTAAGAATATATACACCTATATATAGGTATAAGACTCACTGTACCATGAATGGACAATGAAATGTAACGATCTGAGGACTTTAAGTGTGAAAGAAATGGCTTCTGAACCATTCAGTGGTTCAACTTGGTAGAAAAGTGTTTCCGTAAAAAAAATTTTACCATTCATCTGTACGATTGCTGTGAAATATTACTTGTACGACTTAGAGAAGAGAGGATGAGAAGATCCATCGAAAAATGGATTTAGACTCCGAGCCTCTTGGGACTTGATGTCACGACGAATCCTAGAATGAGACAAAAAAAACCACCAGACAGACTTGACAAGCTTAAAATTTATTGTGGGATGTATTAAAAAAATATACCATAACATAATTGTGCCATCAACTCAAACTTGCTTAATAAATGATAATAAATAACCCTGGAACCCAAACTAATTGATGGAAAAGTTTGATACCTCTGCTAACTTCAAGACACAAAAAAATTATAATATTATGTTTGGAATCCTGCGTTTATCCCAGGGTTGGATAAATAATTGTTTTATAGCTGGCAAGTGAATTTTTATTCTCTTTCAGAAGAAAAATAGTTTCAACAGACAATGGATACTTGGAACTTGATGTTGAACCTGCATTGGGAGAATGGAAACCTGATGTACATTGAGTATAATAACATGTGTAAAAGAAATATGCTTTGTGATACAATAGAATTTTTCATGTTAACTAAAGTTTACATTATGATAAAAATCGTTATAGTCAATGACTATTTCACATTAATGAATATCAAATGATCTTTACGAGTTTTGTCACGCAATAACTGTTATATTTATCTTTGGAGTAATAAGAATAGATGTACAGGTTGACCAGTACGCAGGTGACTTACTCAGAAAATAGAAAGGTCATCGATTATTGTGTTTGACAACAAGACTGATATATATAGAGGTATAACGTACGTATACTCAGTATTCATGAGTAGTGGATTCATCAATGTCAACATTACCATATTGATAACTAGAATGATATCACTGCAGCATACATGAATGACTTCTTAATTGGGAATAAATTGACTAAATGCTTTGTACACAGGCAAGATTTAATTTAAACCTCTTTTTTATGTTTATTGATAAAAATATCAAATTTTAATTTTTCAATCATCTTTCGTGGCTCGAATAAGTGAAAGCAAATACCGATTAATTCATTCATCAAATAAAAAAAGGAATATTTATTTGGAAAAATATTTCATCAGGATAATTAAATAAATCCAACATTCCGTTTCATATAGACTATTCCCAATTTTTTATTCTACTAGAACTTCATGAAGAAAAATACTCCAAGGAGGGAAGATATTTAGATTGGATATCAAATCCAGTAACAGTTCTAATTTCTGTTGATCCAGGTTGATATTGTTTGATTATAGCTAATATTAACATACACCATTAAGCTTGACATCAACAGCACTTTTGAAAAATGTGAAAGAAAAGTTTAACGAAGCAATAGAGTTGACTTTCAATGAGAATCCAGGATTTGAATATAAAGTCAAGCTGAAATATTTTGATGCAAAATGTCACTGTTATGTATTTTGAGATAAAATACCAGATGAGGGTATACTATTTGTCCAAAATTGTAGATATGATATCATATGTTTGCAGCATCAGCAAGTAAAAATAAAACTATTCCAAAGAATGGCTCTAAAACATTCTACAATATAAATAGATTTTTTTCAATCATGTTACATCGCTTCAGTGCTGACTTTGGTTTACCTGATGTGATTTTTTATTGGCATGAAAAGCATTTCTATTAATCTAATTGACCAAAATCTTGTTTCTAAGTGTAGGATTTACACTTGATATGATAGTTTACAAACCATATAATTATGAATCGTGCATTTCTCAGTAAACATTAACCTCTAGTACTGCTAATTATTAATATTAATGCAGTAACCTCTCGTGTCTGACCACAAATGACCTAGACTCCTTCACTGCTCATGCATCACAATTTTCAGCCTATTAGCAAGACGTCACGAGCGAATAGATAATGGTTGTGGTTTCATAATCCCAAGTTATTAGGTTTGGGTTTAATTACTATGCATGCCTGACCAAAGTTACATTTTTTTTTAACTTACTGAAGTTGCATTAAATGCTTTCCAGATGATAAATATTTAGAGATAACTTATTAATAGCTGTTTATTTGGCCTAAATTGATGTTAATCACTATCATTAATCATTTATTCAATTAAATTCACTCACTCTGATAAACTAATGATTTAATGAGGAAGATGGTTTATCAGTAATTTAAAACAATCTGCCAAGAAGAGTCTTTTCATTCTACATAATGCTCTGACTTGAATCTTGAGTTCATTGAAGTTTGCTGACTCGGGATCGCTTGGGAAGTTTAACGCGACCATCCGTTAAATTAACGGTGTGTGAATTTTAGGAATGAAACAGGAATATTATAATGAGATGTAAATAAAAGTTGAATATTTTTCTTCGTTATAAATTTTTATTTAAATACTGATAAATTATAGAAATTTTTAATCATTTAATTGATCGAGTTTTTTTTTTGTATCATTTTCTTAATAAAAAGTTTTCTTTTAATTTTATTTAATCTTCATATAAAGTGGTTGGAATAATTTATTGAATAAAATATACATCAACAATTGAATATTCAAGATTCAAATTTACACCATTTTGCTTCCACTTGAAATATCAAGTAAATACAGTTTAAAATACCAAAACTTTTTAAATAATTAATTCTGCAACGGAGATTAGTATTTGATGGAAATACGCCTCCAGAGAGCTTTCGTTCCCTCGAGCAGCAAAATCACACTGTGAAATAATTTCCACCCCAGCTGTTTTATATTTTTCCCCACTTTTACATTTTTTTTATTCTCATAGAAAAAATCTTTTTCTCATCGAAAAAAACTGATAACTTCTTCTCCACTTTTGCCTTGATTTTAAAAGAAAAATAGAAAATTTTTTAATAATAAAGTTTTTCAGCAATGTGATAATCCATCTAGTCTAAAACTGGATTTTCTTCTGTCTTAATTGTCTACATAAAATTGTTTGTAATCAGATATTCAGTTCTATTCATCACAGATTATTTCATAGCTGTCCTAAACCTATTACAATCCACAACCAACAAATAAAGAGGATTATTGATTTCACGTCAATCCCTGGAGTGATATTACAACATCAGTTACAGGAATGTTAAAGAATGTCATGTTTTCAACATTTTTTAAATTCCGTCAGTCAATGTTTGTTTTATATTTCCATCTTATGACGTTAGACGAAAGATAAACACACGACTGTAAAGTATGTAGTATGCGGAAGTTTAATGTACATTAAGTTTTAGGTATGTGAGAATTCTACTAAAATGAGTTTCCAGTCACTAGAGTATTTATCAAGAAATTCCCATTGAAGCAATAGAGCTGTCAGTGAGCTTATTTGATAAAAAAATATAAAATATAAATAATAAAAAGTCGATATGGAGAAATAATAGTTGAAATAATAAGTAAAAGTTATATAGTACACTTATTTAAATTAAACAATCGCGTGTTTTTACTTCTGGGTGAAATTTTCTAACAAAGCTTCCGTTCCGCGCTATATACATCCAATGAATGCTGATAGAAATGCGGATATCAAATTACTCAGCTCCGTTGGCACGAATACAACCAATGTGAATGTAGTTGGTGAAAAAAAAAAATCGTAATCGACACATCCACATTTGCTCCTGGGATGAATAAGTTTTGTCCGTGTGCCCAGGTATAATTAAGGATACAATAACCGTTGTTTTCAGCGATAAATTGAGAGTTTGTGTACATAAACTAACGGTTTAGACTTTAAAGAGACATACTCTTAAACTAAAATAATTCATTTTGCTTATAAAATGGAATACAATTTTTTTTGCCTACTCTTTTATTAAAAAAAAAAAAACTTCATCTGTGTATAAAAAAAAATTCGAATGTTTTTGTCATTCGTTTTTATTACTCTCAATAAAATTAATTGCATTCTGTGGTATCAGTAAAATTATCTGAAAAAACGACCTGTTGAAAAAGAATGAAGAATTTCATGGATTATAGTAGTAAAAAAACGTGTAATTAATTTTTATATCATAATTGTAAATGAAAAATAGAAAAATGTTCTGTTTTTCTGACAAAGTATACTCCAAGTTTTAATCATAATATTTTTTTTCAAAATTATCTATTCCATATTTATGAGAAAACTTTTTCTATTTATATTATTCAAGTATAAACAGCATAAATATTTTTAATTTATTCTTCTATTTTTTTTTTTAACAAAAACTTATTCTAAATTATCACTTTTTTAATAATAAAGTATCTGTGATATGAAACAATAAAAATTCAAGGACTGGAAAAAGATTGCATTAATTATAAACGATAGGCTTTTGTGCTAGCTAGATACTGATCAAAGCTTCACATCGATAATTAAGTCGAGTGGTGAAAAGTACACTCAAATGTATATGACAGCGATCCCAACTTGAAACTTTCAACGTATCTGTCAATATACTGTCCACTTCACCAATAGTGCTGGTTTTTTAATCACAGTTTTCAACTCCTGCCAATATATTGTAACGTTAATTGACAAAGCTTTTTGATATAAATATATTCAATATTAATTTTAAATACTTCCCAACACTCATGTAATCTATTGATAAAATTCAAACTATCTATTCTCAACTCCAAATATTCCCTTGTTCATAAAAGCTCATGTATTTCTCTCAAAGGTTGAAATTTTTAACTTTATTCTTTTCTACAATTTTTTATCATTGTAACTTACTCTTAAGATTCATTATATTTTTTATAATTACAACAAATTAAGTTTGCTTATTATGATGATTAAAGAAAAAAATTAGATGTAATAATAATTTGTTGTGAATAATTAATAGATGTTGTTAATAGATAATTTTCTTTTTTTTCCAGGATATTTTCCACTTCCATCAATTTACTGCCTCGTGTGGATCTGTTTGGACGTTTTATTCTGCACAGCAAGTATTATGCACTTGTGTACAATAAGTGTGGATCGGTACTTAAGTTTTCGCTATCCTATGAAGTTTGGTCGTAACAAGACGCGTCGACGTGTTATCCTGAAAATCGCCTTTGTCTGGTTCTTGAGTATTGCCATGAGTTTGCCATTAAGCCTCATGTACTCCAAGGTAATTCTCTCGTAAAGATCAAATTTATTTAGTGCAATCAACCGCACAGTCTTTCATTCCTTGTTGATGCAGCTGAATACGAGTATTACTTTTTAGCCAATCGGAAAATAGCTGACGTAATGTCGTTAATCATATTATTCTATAATGGAGTAGTAATAATTTAGTAAATATTTTTTTAGTAAATTAATAATGTAAGTAGATTTTGTTTTGTAAATAAGATAATGGAGTTAAAAGTCTTTATTTTTGGCTATTGAATCATAATATAAACACATTTAGGTCTTTTATTTCTTATTAAATATTTTTGGAAATAAATGAATTATTTTTACTGATGATAAATGTGTATTTTATGGATTAAAGTAGAGAATTTCGTTAAGTAGATTTATATGTTCGAATTATCATAAAGCTTTATAAATGTTTAATTAGAAACATAAAAAAAAAATATCCGAGATGGCCTTTTTTAAATTATGCGTTAATGACTACATGATGAATTTATAGATTAAAATGAGAGCGAAATTACAACGCACTGAATTAATAATAAATAATTACAGTTATATGAAGAGGAATTAATTTTGAATGGAGTAATTGATCAGGTTTCATTTCATCGATGCAGCAACTCCAACGCAATTTCTAATTTTAGTATTTATTGATGGTTAAAACCATTGATGTTTCATTTAATATTTGAATTTATTACGATAATCATGATTATAATAATTAGTATAATTATGATTGTAATTATTTTAGTAAAAAAGAAATGAATAATCCGTAATATTTCAAACAATTAGAGATAATGCATGAAATATATTTATTGTAATTTTACTATCTTGATGTAATTTATTTATAGATGTTTTTGTTACTGTTTAGTCCTCGTTGTATTCAAAAGGCTCTGGAGGATCAGCTTCTTTCTCTTCGTCGGGTTTTGGTCCAAAAGCTGCACATAAATGATTCACATTGTTAAGTTACTAATAAATGTACATTTTCAAAGCTTTTAAAAAAATCACGTAAAAAATTGTACAGAACTCTAATTCCTCTAAGAGCATTTCTAATTCTTTATTTTATAGAATTGAATGAGATTAATTTGCAGTTATTATAAATGATAAATGAAAAAAAAATTAATTTTCCTCACCAGCAACTGGTTCGACTAATTCTTCTTCACTATCTGGTTTAATGTGTTTCATCATGATAATGCCTCCAATTTGAAGATCTTTGACAGGTGCATACTGGCTTCCTTCAACCATCTGAACGACTTTTAGTTGTTGGCGAAGAACGCGAGCAGGGTTTTGAAGAATTTCAAAGTTCGGTTCAGGTTCCTTCTTCTCAGATTTATCTTTATCATCTTCCTTGGATTTTTTATCTTTATCATCTTTCTTGTCTTTATCCTTCTCATCTTTCTTGGCTTCAGTTTTGCTCGATGAAGAGGAAGATGTGGACGGCGTTTCTGGATTTTCCTTATTATCTGCTGCAGGAGGATCCTTAGAAATCATTTATTTTAATTATTACCTCAAAATATTGACACAAAGTATTTTTACTTATTCAATATTTATAGTTATTTTTCAAAAAAAAGAAAAGAAAAGAATTTGAATGCAATTATTTCAACAAGGAAAATAATTGTAGCAAACCTACCACTTCCATCATTTCATAATGTCTAGCTCGTCTCTCAGATTCTCGACGTCGTGCTCTTGCAGCAATACTCAAAACAGCAGTTTGAACTTTCTCACGTTCCTCACGTTTCTTCTCTTCAAGTGGAGCTGGATATGCGTAAATACTTGGCCGTGCATTTGAACGAATCTCAAATTTAGGCATTTTCAATTGCGCATTGAGACCGATGATGCAGGTTGGAGTGAAAGCTAGGGCAAGGCAATGGGTTAGAGGGAACCAATACCAATACTGGGTAAATACTAGAGCTCCAACTACTGCCAACATGTTAGTGTGTCCAGTTCGTGATTGAAGAGATACTGTAACATTGCGGCCACCTGGAAAAATAATTTAAAAAAAAATTACATCACTTTTTCCAAATCAATACCTTGAATTAAAGCTGATGAACTGTTGGATTTCTAATCTTCGGAAGACTATTCAATGTAATGAAACGTATTGATTTTCATTTAAACTGGACAAGACTTTAGAAAATAAGAGGAATACATCAAAGTTTTGTTGATAATAATGATGTTGGAGCTTGTAGTGTAAACTATCGATAAACGTGATAGAAAATACTCAAGCTGTAATCTTACCAGCATCGATAATTCCTTGCGCTAAGATAGCACCAAACTTGGCCATTACATCCTCATGTTTGTCAACGACGACCTTAGCGTAAAGTGCTCGAAAATCTTTGACGCGAGGACAAGTCGCCTCAGTCTGTTGAATAAGGATCATGGCAGAAGCAATAAGGGCTCCTTGTCGTACAAAGTTAACAGGGTCGTTGGTCATTGGATCGAGTAATGCGATCGCTTCTTTGAGCCCTGTTCCAGCACAAGCTATCCCCAATGCCATTGCTGCTCCATATCTTACGTGAGGATTATAGCTTTCTGCTAAAAGAGATACGACACTTGGACATTGTTCTGGAGTTCTGAAAACAAGAGATAAATAAATTACGTTAGAGAATCAAAGAGAAAAAGATCTTAGGCATAATGAATTTACTTTTAGAATAAATCTTAGAAATCTAATAAAAAGATCTTTCAGTAAATTTTCTTTAATTTTATGTCATCTTTATCAAGTTAAGCTTTAAACAGTTTCATTTCTTTTGTCTTTTAAACTCGTATATCAAGTGTTCTTAGAAATTGACGATGGAATTTCCAAGAAAATTAATTCAGTTATCAATATGTTCCAGGACGATGCTTCAATGCTTGTAGACGGCGCCTGCCAAATTCCAGATCCACTCTACAAGTTGATCGGTAGCATAATCTGCTTTTACATACCACTAGGGGTGATGCTACTCACGTACGCGCTAACATTTCAACTCTTGGCTGAACAACGGCAGAATATCTGCAGGACACCAGGTGGGTTTTGTTTCCGGGTGACTAAACTACCCCTTAGAGAGTTGGATAAATTTTCTTAGGATAGTTTCTGTTCAATCTCTTCAAAGTGTTGCAATAATAGTATCCAACTCCCTGAGATCATTTTATCACTTGCTATGCTCAGCAAGTAAATTTTTTTTTACGATCTAACCTCGAATCTTTTCGAATCGTTGGGAAAAATGGTGAATAATATAACGGACGATTTTCTCCAAGGGTAAATAAAGGGTCAGAAATTATTTACACACATTTCTTTGACGTCTGCTTGGTACGACCAAATGCGTCACTGCGTTGGATCTTGTAGAGAGGAAGAAAAGCAGTAAGTTTATCGTCTACTTCTCTTTGCTTTATCGTCAAAATGCGTACAATCCCGAGAGAATTTTGTTGACAAAGACACGTTAATCCGATTATTAACTCAAATGTCAAATAATTTTGTAAATATGTTGCCTCTTTTTCCTCATTTCCCATCATCTATTTATGGATCTTTTTTATTTTATTTGAATTTTTTTCAACAAAGTTCTATTAAATTTGATCATTTTATTTCAATTGAATTATCAATAAATAAAACTTGAATTTAATTATTTAAATCAACGATAATAATATTTCTAAAGTTGGATTAATTATTCCACAGGTAATTAATTATTATAAAACAAATAAAAAAGTTTGTTTAATAATAAATAATAACATGAAAATTAATGTAAAATCTTAGTAAAGTTATTTCTTGATAGAATTACTGTTCAATTGACTCTGGTTATTAAAATATATTTCATAGAGAGTTAGGGAAGCCAAATTTAAATAATGAATGGCCAACTAACTTTGCAGCAAATTCAGGGAAAGGAAATAGTTATTATATACGTGTATTATATATATGTATATATATACATGACCACTATGATGAAACTTTTTAGTTGAGTTTTGTAGACTGTTAAATTTTCCTAGACTACGAACAGCTCTCCAAACTACTCGCGGGGACTTTTAGAGGAATGAGAAAGCATGGAAGCAAAGAGTAAAAGACTACTTCAACTTGATAATTAAGAGGAATTACTGTGCTCTGTTCGAGAAACACTTTTATTAATTGGATAACTTGAATATATATTTCATAAAAAGAATAAATTTTTAAGAATTCATAATTCGTTAGACAATGTTGATTTTAATTTAATTATCCAAGATCAAATTTTTTTTTATCTTCGTATAACAAATACTCACTATTTACTAATGAATTAGTTTTCTTACTAAATTTAACAAATAATTATTAAAAAAAAAAACTTTATTATTTTAATTTAATTAATTATTAAAGTGATTAGATATTTTAAATTTATAATTAATTTATCATCAATAAAATCAATTCTAATGATATAAGGATTTTAATTAAATGGAATTTAATTAATTTATTTAATTAGAAATATTATTCAAGAATTACTTTAAATTCTTATTAAAAAATAATTGAACTTCTTAGGAGAAATTTTTTTGCAATTAAAAAATTTTTAAAAAAATAGAGAAAAATACTTTTAATTCTTTTTTCTTCAATAATTAGAGATGAATAAGTTATTGCATTAATTGAGAAAAGGAATTTTTTAACGCTCAATCATAAGGTGTGGTGAACGTCAAAAATAACCTGCCATGTATAAGATAACAAATTGATCCTTCGACCTCTTTCCACTAAACTTTCTATCCATTCAGTGCACAATTCACTGAATGACGTGTTCTTCAGCTCAAAATTTCCGCCAAGTCATCTTCCATTTCTCGTAGTCTTAAAAAATTATTAGCTATTTTTTTTTGTTTTACTTAATTTTATTTAATATTCAACGAATTATTATGAATATTTAAATATTAAAAGTGAATATCTGTCCGCCCATACATATATTTTTAAACCTTCTAATATGCCTTTAAATGTCTCAAAATGTAAAGATACGATAAAATTATGAATTTTAAAAATTGATCTCATTAAAATAACTTCCTAATGGGAAGTTAAAAATAAATGAAGTTCTTGAATTCCAATGAAGGTTTATTACAACAATAAAAAAGATAAATCTTCCAATTTAGTTAAAACAATCTTTCTTATGGGCCTGAGGATCAGTGAGGGAATCCCTTCAAGCATAGTCACACTTAAGCCACTGAATGTCCTGAGAAAATAAAAATCTTGCTAGATAGTAGTAAAAATACATATATGTTCCGACAATCCTCTTATCGTTTGGGTCACTCACTTGGCATAAAATATTTCAGAGCCTGTATTTTGTAGGTTTCGGTCAATAGTAGACTGTTCTAAGCATTTCAATGGATTATTCGAATGACCAGAAGTGTTTAATAGAAGCTCAACATTTTATTGAAAAGGAGTTTCTCTGAATAGCAAGGATTTTATTATAAAAATTTTATTTTAAAGAAAGAAACTTTTTATAAACTAAAAAAAAAAAATTCTATTAATCTCAACTTGTTGAAAAAAATTTCAATATGTACTCACTATAAATAAACTTAATTAAATATGAATAAACTTCAATAAAAATAGTTTTATTTAATTTTTTTTTTTTTTTGTTGAGTATAGAATTCAATAATATTTTTTTTTATGAAAAATAGTTTTTTTTTGTGTTGAATAATAACTGGATATAATTATAAAGCATTGAAAAGATTGATTTTGATTTAAATTTTATAAATAACAGAATAGCTATTTTTATTTCACACTAGAAAAATTGTTGGGTAATAATTATTAATAGTAAACATTATTTAATTTAAAGCAAAAGTTACTTATAAAAATTTAATCCGGCATTTTTATTTTCCTTGAAAAAATTTTTTCATGAGCTTTAAAGAGGTAGAATTATCATAAAATATTCATAGTATGTCTTCTTCATTGACATAAGTTAGAAGTAGGTACGCAATAACCAACTATCACTTCATCACAAATACTATGGTAATTGAATTTTCAATCTAAAACGACTACAGTCAATAATAAAATATAATAATGTCTGGAAAAGAATTCTAAATTGAATCTGCATGACAGAAAAATCTTAAGAATATTGTTATGAATCAAAAACGATTGATGTAACTTACGACCTTCAATTCTATTTTATTCCAATTTCATTCAATGTTCTTATTGATTTTCACGTTTTTGAGTAAAATAAAAATGTCATATTATATTTAATACCAACTCCATTCAGCTTACAGAATGAATGACAATTGATTAATTCACTGATCCTATTTCACCAGTGTATTGTTAGGAAGTTTATTAAATTTTCATATGATTCAGAAGAATGAAGAAAAATTCATATCTTTGTTTAATCAAGCATTTTTTTTATTTAAATTATTATGCATTTGATAAGAGAAACATTCAACTTAAAAATAATACAACTGAGTGATTACCAAGAATAGCAAGAGAGATTACATGACTATGATTTAATATTATTTTTCATCTTTTAAATATCCACTCATATTATGTAAAATTCAAATAACTTCACTGAAATAAGTAAAGGATAACTTTTCATGAGCTCAACAAATAGTAATCTCTTGAATGGATGAAAATATTGGAATATTTTAGCAAAAATTGAAGAAAGAAAGATCAGATACAGTTTTTAAAATATCTGAAAAATGTTATGACAAAATGTAGATTTACTAGAAACTTAAATTACTAAATCCTAGTAGTAGTAAAGCATATCATCAATCGTTACTTCAATTTTTTATTATTAGGTATTTAAATATAAATTATTTCCGTTGTAAAATGCATTCTTGATAAATGCATTATAACACTTAGTTAATATGATTCAAATATCTCTTCTCTTTCTATCCAATTCCCTTTCTTTTTCTTCTCATTATTTCCATTACTGACAAGTTGAATCATAATGCAGTTATTTTAATAACTCTATTAAGTTTTAATCTACTTATTCAACAAAGCTCTAGCTCTCACATCATGGTAACAAACTTGTTTTTGCATTCAAACTACTAAATATTATAACTATGCTATGCTCTACATATTTTCCAACATCATCCAAACTATTAAAATACACCAACCCTAAAAATAACATCTGAATATTTATGTTGTTTTTTTTCACAACCAAGAGTTCGTGATGCTGTTATTGATGAGGAGTTATGAACACATGGGTATTGGTTTACCAACAATAAGGAAGATGAAAAAAAAGCACTAATGAATGGTTTGTGGATGAGTTGCAGGTTTTGACAGGGGAAGCACTTGGAGACGACTTCAGATAAGCAAAGGAAATGAAGGGAGTGGTGGAACACCGCAGCATACATCAGCAGCCTCTACTGACACAGAACCCACCTTAGACAGTCGGGAATTCTGGTTGCCTGAAAGCAAACCACCACCTTCTGCAATGTTGGCTCTGCATGCATTTGGAGCTGAAATGTTCAAACTATCAAAAGGTCTTGGTGGTATAGGGAATTTTGCGTCAGATCAGTCACCCATTGTAACCCCCAGGTCAACTACTCATCAGCATCAACATGAATTAACTCATCCACGAAGCAGATTTAGAAATGAGTGAGTCAATAACTTTCATAAGCTTTTTATTGAAGTTATGATATCAAATTTGTGAATTATTTTATCATCTAGCAGTTAATATAATTTCTTTTTCGTTATTTCCCTCTTGATTATTGGTGATATAGCATGAAGGTTTTATCCAATTATTCCTCAGTATATAAATAAAAAGAAGAAATTATTCATTTGGAGATATGAAGATTAAAAAATGTACATCCACTTGTGAAAGATAAATACTAATAAATCAGTATTTATAATTTATCCTAGATATTACTATTTTATATCACACTATAATAAGATTTTTAAACTAGAACTCAGCCAAATAAAAAATGAATGAAATTAAAGAAATAATATAAACTGATGAATACATCATTGATATAATTAAATAATTGATAGTTTTATAAACTAGCTAATTAAATAAAAATATTTATTTATTTCAAAACTGAATAATGGTTTCAATTTATAAATAATTGACTGATTTTATTCATTAAAATTCAATAACTGCATCCAACGTTGTCATAAATGAACTATTTTGTTGATGAATGTTTTCAATCAACCTTCCATAATCGATTGTCCAAAAAAAATATCTATCAAGCCAAGTATAGCAATTTATTATTCAATAACTATCACTTTAATTTAAACATTCACGAATAAAAGAGCATAATTTTTACCTAATTCTCTCCAATGCTCATCGAACTGGAAAACATGACAACCTCTGCAAAAATCCATGCCTGGGTTAATTTCACAATGAACTTTTTCTACTTTACGTGCAATTTTGCAGGTCATTATTGAAGCAATGAATCAAAATAGAAGAGATAATGATAGTGATAATAAAGTTAAATTAAATAAAATTGATATTACTCTAGAGATATCTGGTCAGTTTCTTTGGTAGATGGAGATAAATAAAAGCTCGTAAGTTGAGGTCAAATCCTGAACTAAAAGATCACTGGAACCAGTATTTCACGTAGATCGATTGCAAGTCATTCTCGAGTTCAACTGAAATCTCTTGAGATTAAGTTTAAACCAGAAAACTGAAAGCTTAAAGGAAAGACTTGAAAATTAAAGTACAAGAGTACGAATAGATAGACATTATTGTCTTGATAACAGTAGTGTAAACTGGTGCGTTAAGAACATTGTTTTTCATCTTGCACTGAAACAGTTGCAGTTTTATCTTGACAATAATAGAAAAAAAAAAATTAAATGAAAGCTACAAACAGAAACCATTAAAGCTCAACAAGAAAGAAAATAACAGCACATTTGATACTTCTTGCTTACAATCTTTACACTGTGTCTGATTGAAAAAGAAAGTATTTCCTATCTGATAAAACATCTAAATTGTTTCCTAAAATTAAATGAAGTCAATTTCCTCCGACGCTTTTTTAGTTTTCTCTTATTTACAGCTGTTTTTGCTTTGAAATTGTAACATCAAAGTCTCTGCGGCAAACGGCAATTAATTTTTATATTAAACTTTTTATTTCTATTCTTTCGAGTAATTTAGAAAAGTAATTCTCTACTTTCGTTTGTTGATTAAAAAGCAGACTCATTAGATGAAAATGGAAAAATGTGGTATGATGAATCTTTGGATTTTTTAAGAGTCATTTAAATTCAAAGAAGGCTCACTAATTGATTAGCATTATGAGTAATTATCATTTAATAATTTTTGAGTAAAATAATCTAGTTAATTTTTTTTTTTTGTTTTTAGTGTGAATACATGTTAACAATAAAATTAGAAAAAAGATCACTATGATAAAATAATTTTGGTCACGATTGCACTTGTGATCAGATAAAAGTTCCAAAATAGTTTTTATTCATTCAAATAAAAGTTATTTATCATAATTATGATTACATTTATTCTTATTCTGTCCAAGAATCTGAGTTTACGTGTAAAGGAAATAATTTTCTTTTGGTAACAGTAGAGAAACGCATTAAGATTTAATGCTTGTTTTATCGTAATCTGTAATCATGATGACCACTTATCCAAACCATGCACGCAAATTCTAGGTATTTTATTCGCGTAGTAAGTCGTATAAGTTTAGTAACAGCAATAGCAACTTACTGGTACGTTGGTGGGCTCTGTGAAGAGCAATAAAGTTGTATTCCATTAGTGAGAGTAAATAAAAAAGAGTAAAAAAGAGGATGAAAGAAAAAAAAAAGAAAAAAGATAAAAAGTAGCTGAAACATTTAAGAAACTTAAAGAGAAGGTAAGTGGTTGGTCCATTATGGAGATACGATAGAGCGTGAGATAGTTGGTTTGTGCAGGAGGCTTTCCGAACAAGTTGAGTCCAAAGACGCCTACTCACAAGTGACTACCAAGTTCCTCATTATTAAATAAATCCTCTTTTGCAAGTTATTTATCTAAAATAACGTGGAATCACAGAACGTAAATAAATGGCTGCAAATTTTTTTTTATTGCTTTGAAATAGACAAGAATAAATTGATGATTTGCTTCGAAATTTTTTTATTAAAAAAAAAAAAATTGAAAAGTTTATTTAATTAATGGAAATTAAATTTGAAAAATAATTTTAAATAATTATTGAATTTTAATTGTTTATAAAAAATGTTGGAGTATCAGATTAAATAATATTGAAATTTTTTTAATTATTTTGCTTAATTAAATAAATTACTTGAGAATTTTCTGACAAAATTCTTTTTTTTTTCATTTTTATTAGAAATTAAAAAATTTATTTCATAATTCCCCACAAGAGATATTTTTTTTTTTATTGTATTAAATTTTTCTGATGGTAAAAAAAATGTATAAAAATTTTTATATCATTTTATTTCATGTTACAATATTTAGAAAACTATTGCAAGCATCAATTTAATTGGAAAAATTTTTTTTAATCATTTATATACAGAAAATAATTAAAGAGAAATTCAATGTAAAAGTAAAAAAGTACTTGTAGATGAAAACAATTAATACACAGTGTTCAATAATAAGATAAATTGATGAAAAATTAGTTATAATATTTAATAATAATAATAGTAGAACAAATCATTAAAATGTGTTGAACGATTTGAACCTACACTTTCTAAAACATGAAATTACAATGTACTTGATTTTGATTTCCGGTATATGATGAAGCTCCGTTAATGAGAATTCTCAATCGTAGTTTCTTCCGGGCGTACTTGCTGACGATCATTAATATCGTGCAATGTGTCTGGTTACGACACTGGAAGGATAAGTTGGTCTCAAAGCGACCTGGGAAATGGATGGGGCGATGTTGATATTATAAAGGAGTGTGAGAATAAAATCAGGAAGTATAAGAACGATAAGGGAGGCAAAGTTCGTAAAACTCCAAGGAGGTATTGAGTATCATGAGAGTGAAAAATATATAACGGTACATTGAGGTTTGAAAAATGTATATCAGAAGAAGCAGAAGAAAAAGAAGTGTAGGTAGGAATCCTACACCAAGAGAAATGGAAAATGAAAAAGTTGCAAGTCTTATATACGTCAGATAGTATCTTTGAAGTGGTTTTCCGTATGTGGTTTTAAGTTTTCAAAATGCTTTGATGTACAAACAAAAAAAAATACTCTGATTTTTAAAGAGAATATTTATGTACATGTTTATCAAATAATAGATATAAGAGCAGATAAAAATAGTGAAAGAGAGAAAAAATAAATAAAAATTGTATCAAAAAGTATTTTTATTTGTGACATGATAACAGTATTAAGATTGATGATAGGATAAAGAATAAATGAGATTGTAAAAAAGAAGATCTAGCATTTCACATAGCTCTTATGAGATTGTTAGAAAGAATGAAATAAAATTCAAATATACGCTATAGCAGGTTTTAGATTCCAAACAATAAAGAATTTCACACAAGCTTCAAGTTTACCTAGACAATTTTATTTGCTCTAGAAAGCTGAAGCTTTTTCAATTTGTCAACGATATTCAAGTTGTTCACTATATCTAACAACTTCTAGACCATGATGGCTTTGATGATTTCTAGATGTTGATGCTTTGTCCCTTGCTATCTATATCCATTCCTTTCTTTAATGTACCAATATCTACGACTCAAAGAGTCTTGAGGATTCTTTATTCTCTTGAAAGTGTCATGAAATGAGAAAGTTCTAGGTTTCTATCAATTTATAAGTGCTTTTTAAATTATTACAATTTTACTTTCATCAAGCTATAGTATTCTATTACGTTTAATTTAACTTGTAGAATTTTAAATTTATTTAAGGAATTTCTACATTGTTTGCTTCTTTAACATTGAGAAAAAACAAAGAATTAACATAAATTAAGCTGTAAATGTTTAAATACAACATAAGTCTTTTGAACTTTGAGTAAGACTTTAAATGTTATACTACTTAAGCAAAACTAATTACAAAATAATTTTAAAATTCAATAACTGGTAAATTTAACACCATCTACTTGAAACTAACTCTAAAGTTACCCTATTTGCTTACAATTATTTCAGAAGTGCCGAAAGCGCAGCGAGTAGTGAAACAGGATCTAGAGCTAGTTTGACAATCATCCAGGATGATTCTAGTCCTCCAACTCAATGGAAACATCGAAGAAGAGCATCAACTTACAACGAAGCGTATTTTCATCGACTTGAATCTCCTATGAAGATGCAACGAAAACGAGCATTTAGCTTTCATGAATCTAATCCTTTAGATAAATCTTTATCCCGATTATCGCCACAACATGATTCAGCTTTGGAAAATCCTAGACGAAAGAACATTGAGAAAGAAGATCTTGTGCTTCCACCTCCATGCACCTGCCCTTACTTTGGAGAATCCTCGAAAAAACCACCAGATAACTCTGGAGAAGTGGTCATTATCTCCAGTGCAAGCCTCAAACCTATTGGTAGAAAGAGTCCGAAGACTGAGACAAAATCCTTTGAAGGATCAAACTCTGTTGTCACTTGGAGAGGCACCAGGAGAGGTTCAAGTGCTGGTGGGTATTTGTTTTACTTTTTCTTTTCCGTACAACTGAACCTGTCTGCAATGGAATACTTGGAACTCCATCAATATGTCAGACTTAATTCTTGGAAGATTTGTTGTGGACAGGTTTCGATTGTACTTTTTACCATCAATATTAATCAAAGATAAACTATTTAAAGGGTTGAACACCCTCATCTATCAGGATCAATCACTTGATGATTTTTCAACTTCTTGCAGGCAGCACAAGGACTCTTTTGGCATCATCATGTCCAACACCTCTGCGACGTGCTGTTACAATGAAAGCTCACAATGGCGCCACTCTCACACCTAAACCAAACTCATCGTCACCATGTTTGTTGAAGTACAGTGGTACCATTCGGACTCATCATTCTCGAAACAGTAGTGTTTTGTCGCGAAACAGTTCGGGTCGTGGTCAAGCAATCCGACTGGAACAAAAAGCTACCAAAGCTCTTGGAGTAGTTTTCTTTACATTTGTCATCTTGTGGGCACCATTTTTTGTTCTAAATCTAGTGCCTGCGGTGTGTCCTGACTGTGAAAAAAGAATTGATAGGAAAATTTTTGATCTTGTTACTTGGTTGGGTTATTCCAGTTCTATGGTCAATCCTATTTTGTATACAATTTTTAATAAGGTCTTCCGACAAGCATTCAAAAGAGTTCTACTTTGTCAACGTAATAAACCAGCATGGAAACCATCGCGGTAGGTTCAGTCACGGCGACCAGAGATTGTTGTCACAAAAGTGTGACAAATCCTCTTGTTGCCAATGATAATAAAACCATTTTTATCCATTTATTTGTAATAATAAATATAAAGAATTATTTATTTTTACTGAAATTCTTTTTTTCTGCTTACTGAAGAAGAGATTAAAGACTTTTTTTGCTGATTGACGTGATCGTAAAGTACAGGCAGCTCGGAAATGAGTGAATGTGTTTTTAGTCCACCCACTAGCTTCCTTACTCTCTCTTTCTCTCCCTTTGTCTGTTGGCATTCTTATCATCTCGTCGGGTTCGTGTTTCTTAAGTGTATTTGCATATGAGAATTATGTCTTACAGAACATGACTTTAAAAAATCTCCATATCCCCTTACTTTTTTTTTTTTATTCTTTACCTCAATCAGGTTCTAAGATTGACGACTTGGACTTGAGTTCAAGAAGGGTAACTTGATTTACGATGTTGTATTTTGTGATTTTTATAGTTGAATATAACTGTTCTGAGAGTACTGGTTTTGTCATAAATTAACACGAGTAAACATAATAAAATTAAAGTGAAATAATAAATAAATAAGGTTGATAATGTAAAGAAAATATTTAAGCGCTGAACAATCTTTTTAGAGTCAGAATAGACTGTGTGATATAGCAAGTCAAAAAGTATATTGAAATATTAACTAAAAGTGTCCTATTTCAGGTACTTTTTGATGTCATCAAATAATTATAAAACTTATTATTAAAAATCATCGATGTTATTTAAATGATAGTATTGTTGAAAATTAATAAAGAAAGTTAATGAAAATTTACATTTCATTTATAATAATGTAAATAATTAAAATTGCCAAGTTAATCATTTTTAATTATTTCATACAAATTTAAGTATATTTAAATAATAAATAATAAATTTTAAAAAAAACTGGTTGATGTGTAAGAAGTGATTTTTTTTTTTAATATTCACTAAGAAGTGAATTAAAAAAAGATAAAGTTGAATTAAATTTAATCTAAATTTCATCAAACTTTGGTTCAATAACAAAATTTCACTAGACTTTTAAACTATTCATTTTTTTTATTAAATTAAAAATGATTTATTTATATTTTCAGCTAAAAATACCAAAATCTGTTTTATTAATAATTAAATATTATATTATTATTTATACATAATAAAAATATTTTATGTCAATGTTCAGATTATTTGTCATTAAAGTTGAATGAAAGCAAAAAGTTGATAAGTCTGAATGCATTAAATGTCTTCGAACTGATTGATGTAATTGTTGTAAATATAAAAAGACTTGAATGTACAATTGTTATCTCTATTAGTTAAAAAGTAAATGTAAAAAAAAACAAAAGTGTTAAACTAGTTATTTAACACATAAAAAAAAAATTTAAGATTTGTACTGGGTTCTAAAATCAAGAAGCAGATCAACACTAAAATATCTATACGTAAATATAGCTTTAAAAAGCCTAATTTATATACTCGACAAAGAGTGATTACTATGATAAGTAATCGAAGAAAATCTAAAGGATAATATAAACACTGAATAAAAAAAAAAGGCTAATAAATTAAATAAATAATTATTGTAAAAATAAATGTGAGAAAAAAAAAATAAAACGAATAAGAATAATCAATACTTTCAACATTGAATTTTCTTAGGATAAATGTTAGATAAAAGATATAATATCACTAAAATGAATAAAAATATTTATGGTAGAAAAATGTAACAAAACAACTTCGATAAATCGATCAAAAGCTCATAAATCTCTTCAATAAAATGGACGCTTTAAAATATCAATAGCAAATATTTGAATCCATTGCTGTGCTTGTCATTTATTCTTTATAATATCTGGAGATTCAGATACAAGAGAATGAAATATCTTGGATTAATATGCTTAAGTGATTCAAATATGTCAAAAATTTTATCATCGGTAAATTGATCCATTTCAACTGCTTACAAATATCTAGATTCACTCAAAAAAATTTTAAAAATCCTTCAAACATAAAAAAGTATTTCTTGAAAAAGCTTTCTAATATTTTACTTTCATTTTTACTGAAAAATCTTTTTCGTTTATTTTTTTCCATTGTTTGAATGTTCAGCATGAAATGCGTATCGAAAGCGGCGTTTATCGATTATTATTAACATCGAGAGACAATATACAAAGTAAAGAGAGAAAATACGTGTGTTTATGACAAAAACATGGGACAAGGACTGTTAAACAAAATGGAAGAAAATTTAATGTACAGTCAAACTTCGATTAAAACTCGACAATACGCTACGACGTAAAATCATATAAAATTAATTATAGTATTAAAAGATTGTATGTATATATATAAGAGAACATTTTCACAAATAAAATAAAAAAATGTATAGAATAGATGGGCGGGAACAGTACGCTTAATTAAATCTAGTTATAGAGTTGATAAACGTGTAAATTCAATCTTATTAATGTACAATAAAATTAATTTTTTTTCTACAAATGGCATTGATTGTTATTGTGAATTTTACATCTGTTGGATTGGCAAGAAATTAGTGTAAAATAATAATAAAATAATTGCTTAAGAAATAATCTGAAATAAATTAAAAGTTTATTAAAAATGACAGCAAAGATTTTTATGATCGAAAAAGTTCACTCTTCTCTCTATTTAAACCAATGGTAATTAAGAATGTTAAGTGTACATGTATTTATAATAAATACTTTGTCAAAAAAAAATCAGGTTTTATTGTACCGTTTCTAAAAAAATAAATTATTATTAATAATTTAAACCTAAACTCTTCTATAAAATAGACATAACCTTCTTTTCCGAATTTTTTAATGTTTCTCGGAATAATGAAAGAAAAATTGATCAATATGCAGAAAGCTAGGATGTATATTTTATAAAAAATATTCATTTTATTTCAATGGGGCCTGGTTTTTTTATACGATCGGGAGCGATCGAAATACCTTGAAATACTTTATCATTTTAACCTCTAGAATGTAAAGTATTAAAATGGTACCACAATGTCTTTGCCCTTAGAATGTATCCAAGTTATTGATACACATGGTGACTGTTTTGTAAATTGAAATTTATATAGTATAAAACTAAAAGTTGTTTTAGATATTTCACTATTTTCTTGCCAACTCAATAAAATAATAGGTATTATTAAATCCTGATATATTTGGTAAAATTTAAAATAAGTCAGGAATTGTTCTGGAATACAGAAATTATTTTTTATTTTTAAATATTTTTAATTAAAAGTTGATTGTGCTGAATATTATTATTTAAATTCGATAAAAATATTGGAATGAAAATAAAGAAAAAATGTTGGATTGTTTTTAAAGAGTAAGAGGAGAATATTCAGAAAAGAATAAAATATCACATAATTCAAAGTAAAAACATCTTTCTTTGATGTTAAAAAAAAAATTACTCAACTAGTTGTTGCTCTCAAACTAAGAATAAACATTGTAAACATACTTTTTTTTTTAACTATGAAATAAACTCTGTAGATTAAAGAATGTGGTAAAATTGAAGTACAGACGAAACCGAGCTTTTTACACTAAGTGAAGTCGTTATTGTTGAATTTAATAATACTTCACTTTCAAGTAAGCACAATAAATTTTTTTTGTCATTTATAATTAACTCAACAATTTACATTTATGTCATTCTGTGTAAAAAAATTCTATTGCTCAACATCATTTATTATAAATAATTCTGTTCTTTAATCCATAAAAATTTTATAATTACTTTTTTTTTTTTGCAAATTTGCTACTCTGATTATTTTTTTTATTATTAAATAATAACTAAAAAATCTGCATCAGATTTAATTCTTATACATGAGTGTAATACATATATGGATGCAAACTGGTATCCATTCATCACTTTAGAACAGATGTGTAATACCCTGAAATTAATTTACTATTGAATAGAATAGCTGGCCAAAGGAGATATATGCTTGGTGGTAATTACATTGCAGTTGCTCGGAGCAATTCTCATTCGAAGATGTAAAATAGGAAGCAATGTGTTGAAGCAAATCACCTTGTGTAGGTTTATGAATATGTGTCGTGAGTATGAGTAGTTTAAAGAGGACATAGGAGTCTAAATAATAAATAAATACCAACTTAAGCACAAAAAAATAATTACTACATGGATATGTAAATATTTATGTTAATAAATATAACAAAATAATAATAAAATTTTGTAGAAGAATAATTAAAATTAATTTCAATAACAAAGAATGATTTGTATTGGAGTGAAAAATTTCTAGACAAATAGGATGAAATGGTGGAAACAGGGCAACAAAATATTCTGATAGAAAAATCGAATAAATAAAAAAACATTGATTGGTTAAAATAACACATAACTGATCGATTGGGGCAGTTAAAAATATTTTCTAAAAAAATAAAAATAATTTGTAAGTTTCATCCTATCAATTTGGACAATATTGGCAAGGGTACTGGAAGGGTATGATGAAATTACTTGAAGTGGTTTTTCATTGATAAAATAAAAATTTACTATCAAAGAGCGTTTTGATGCACATGACATGGAACGAAAAATGGTGAGTAAATCGATCGAACTAGACGATGTAATATAAGTAGTTTTTATAAATAAAACAAAAATATATATTGTATCTTTATTGGGAAAGTTTGATTAAAAATGTTCAATTATTTTTGATATGTTAGTAGATTTATAATTATTATGAAGGTAAGTATAGTTAGTTGATGGAAAATAAAATAATGAAAGTAGTCAATGATATCGAAAATATTTGTTAAATATTCTCTATAACACGCAACAGATTAATAAATATCGTAGAATTAACTTCAATTATGAGCAATTTCTATCGGATTTGACACAATCAATTGAAAGATATTATCAGATTAATTTCCCGAGTAGACTGGGTGTGGAGCAGTTATACTCAGAATATATGATGTTATATACTTGGATATTATACGTTATATATAATGTGGTTTATAAACTCGTCCATCACATTTTAACAAATATTTCAGGATTTTTATGAAAAGTGCAT